CCCCCAAAAAACTGGCAAAAGTGAGCGACCCCAGTGCTTTCTTGTCGTATCTCCATTTTTAACAATAGTGAAAACAGTCCATAACAAACATTGAGATTAAGAAGATGTCACATTTTCCCTGTCACAAAAAAATGGAGATAGGAGATGAAAGGACTGAGGCCGCGAGTTGTTAAACAATCAAAATCCTGACTGCACGCGTGGAATGTGGACACGTCAAAACCAAAACTCTATATATAGTCTTGTTTTGTTTTTGGCAAGTGTTTTACGGCGTTCACAGCTGCATAAAAAGACGACAGAACATTGTTAGAGAGCAGGACAGGATGCAAAAGGAGAAAATTTGAGAGAAGAAAATTTTCAGTAGATACCCGGATTCTAACCCGGGACCTTTGAATGAGAGGCGTTAACCTCTAGGCCACGAGAGCCCCCCTACAGGGTCTCGTTAATTCTCATGATCCCATTGGCCTTAGTCGGGGAACAAAAACTATCGTCACTGATTTTTTTGTTTTGGTAAGAATTTTACAGCACTTGCAACACAATAAGGTCAAATAAGTGCTGAAGATTAGAGGTGTTACAAAAGAGTAACAAACACAAAAAAAAAAAGAAGGAGGGGGAGATAAAGACAATAAATTCTGATGTTTGATGATAGGAAAGAAGAAGCATACCACACCAGAGCACCCGCCAACCACCCACTACCTTATTTCTTCCACGTAAGGCTAAAAACTAAAGTACAGTACAGCATGCATCTCTTCTTCAGAAAGTCGACTCCTCACTTTAGGCAACATGCACTTTCGATTCCCCAAAATCGGTGTCAGGACAAAACCGTCTAATCTGATTTTGTTCAAACATATTATAGCACAGGCAGGAATCATACATTTGTTTAGCATCTTACTTTGTAGTCTTAAAAACCCTCTCTCAACATCTTCCGATACTGCCACAACTACAAAAAAACCCAAAACTACTAATAAATAAACATACGCACCACACCCCTTCTCTTTCCTTCTTTGATCTCGACTAAGCTTTGAAAAATAATAATAAATAATAATAATAATAATACAGATCCCCTCTCTGCCGTACTCAGACAAAACACTTTTTTCTTATTCACAGCGGTTTCAAGAAATCAGCAATTTTCGGTTTTCTCATGATATCTGTCGAGCACAGGGCATGACACTTCTCTTCAGGGTGCGAGATCAACTGTTGATGCACTGTGCAAAATAGTTTAGATATTATTAAAAAAAACAAAAAAATCTGATTTCTTGAAACTGCTGTGAATAAGAAAAAGGTGTTTCGTCAGAAAACGGCAGCTCTATAGCGCCCACTCTCTGGTGGCTCCAAGAGCTTCGATGAAATAAAATTTATTCGCGTTTCCGGTAGACTGGCCCTTTCAACGTACAACAAATCCTTTCAAATACATAAACTGTCTAAACTGGTTTCATTCAAACAACACAGAAAGTAATAAATATCTTTTCCAAAAATACTACAACCTTCATCTCTGAATCACACGGCACTTCTTGACGCGATTATTACGACTGGCGACATCAGCACGCCCGTCTCATCTCCCAGCCGCCATATACTTCTCAATAAACGTTGACCTATTTCCATCTCCTCCGAGTTTCATTTTTCTTAATCTGACCAGACATGTTCCTAAAATCTGCATTCTTCGACATAAACCCAGACTTATTTCTGAAATTCTTCGGCACATTGCTGTTGTTATGATGATGATGGTGATGATGATGACCTTTCAGGTCAGGACATGGGGCGAAATGCTTCATACCGGAACGGTTCGAATCCATGTGCCCTTTGTAGTTGTAGTTGTAGTCCCCCGCACCGCCCCCTCCCCCCCAAAACCCTCGATGATGCGGGTGGCCACCGCCACCGCTCGCGTTGTTCACAGTGATGCTGAAGTTCTCCACCGTCGTCTTCTGTCGTTTCCAGCTCCTCCGCGGCGTCTGTCCCTCCTCCCTCGACCGCCGCTTTGTCCCCTGCCTGTGGCCGGCGTGCGGTTGCGAGTGTCCGCCCTCGTGACCCCAGTCCTGACCTCTCTCTTGACCCATCTCCCCCTGGTGATGCGAGTGGCCATCGTTGTACGAGTTGTTGTCACTGTACGGCTGAGCAATGTCCGCACCCCCCTGACCTCCTGAACAAAAGGAAGAAGAAAAAAACAGTGAGCTACATTACGAGTTCCGGCGCTTTGTTTTGCCAAAATAGAGCCTTAACTTTGGAAGGCTAAAATATATCGTCATCTTCGAAAACAATCCATTTAAGTCAAAATTTTGAGAATCGATTTTTACACCCGCCCAAAGCTCTAACAAAGATTTCAACATCACCAAAATGCAGTTTAAAGCTACGATCAAGGCTTACAATTTTCTTGCTTTTGAATAAGTCCTAATAGGAACAACATGTCAAAAAAAAACCCTCCTTTTTTGTCTCTGGTGTAAAACTTACCCAAACTGACTTAGAAGTGGATTGCTTACGACACCGGCGACAGGTGAAGGAGAGGCACAGTCACACAATAATGGTCAAGTCATCGCGCTTTATTGCAAGAACAAAGTAAGTAACAGTGACACAATACTGGCTACTTAGCTTTAGCGCAAGAAAAAATCAAGTGACAGTGACATTATATTATTGATCAGAACATTTGAAAAACATACAAAGAATCACATTAAATGCAGTCATTTGAAAAAAAAGGTACTTTATGCAAATGCTGTGACATGCTAGTTTTGATAACTGACAGGACAAAGGAGGTATTTTTTCTGTCCTGTCAGGAACTGAAACTAAACACATCGCAGAATTTGCATAAAGTACTTTTTTTTAATGACTGCCTTTAATATGATTCTTAATGTGACTTTCAATTGTTCTGATCATTTAAAGTTGAAATAAACTGATATATTGAATTACAGGGTTATCATTGTAAGAAAGTATAGCCCAAATGTCCATTCAATAACCACCGTTCAGTTACTGTGGAATAGTCCAGGACAGAAAGAAGGAAGAGAAAGAGACAATCATACAACACTGCAACAATAATCTGTACTAGACTAGTTCATCAAGCCTACCTGCCCGACTCTTTTTCCCTCTACTCCGATTCGACTTCGACTTCTTTTTCTTCTTCTGTCCATCTTTCGAATCTCTCCTCGTCTTCCGCCCCCGGCCTTTGACCTTGTCTCTGCTCCCTCCCTGATCCTCACAACCCTGTTGGTAGTCGCCGTGATCGTCTTCCTCCTCGAAGAAAATGTGCTGATTTGCCTTCCCCTCCTTCTTCTTCTTCTCATTCCGGCGCGGGTCTGGTTCGGGTCCCGTTCTGTCCGACTGCTGTTCTTGTTCAGACGACGCCAGACCCGCGTCGGATGTGTCTCTGAGGTGAGATGTCGGAGTTCTGTCCCCTGACTTCTCCTCTTTCTTTCTTCTTTTGGCGTTCGGTTCGGAACTTTTGCTCTTCTTTCCCTTCCGTTTCTTTTCTCTCACTTCCGGCTGGGGTTTTACAACGGGAGTTTCCAAAAGAGCTTTCTTAGCTCGACCTGAAACACGAAAACAACAACAAAAATCTATTATCATTTACAAGAAAAATTATCAATTTTTCAACAACTTACAAACAATTTGCCGATTGACCTTCCTTCAATCTCAACCCTGTTACTGGCGCTCTCCAATCTTCTGCTACGAGTCATACGAAAAAGATAATAATTGATACCCCTGCGACTTTGACATCTTTCAGGCAATCTATCCATAAACACTATTCCTACAGCCTCTCTTTAACAACCTTCAATATAACGACATCCTCTGTATAGCGACATGGTGCCCAGGTCCCGATTTTTTCCTTAAATATCATTAGTAATATTTTTGGTTGCCTCTCTACAAACGACATTTTTTTTCTGGTCCCGACAATGTCGTTATAGAGAGGCTGGCTGCACTGTACTTCAAGCCCCCACCGTCACGATCGAAACCGTTAAAGAGGCCGGCTGCTTCAGTTTATCCGGGCTGAGTCAAATACAGCATCCCACCAAATATGTGGAGATTCGCAACAAGAAAACCTGCCCCAGTCTGGATTTCTCTACACATTCACTCTCAATCCTTTTCAAACCAGGAAAGAAATGTCTCCGTTTCCCAAACCTAGAATTACAAAGTTCTATCTGCTCAGTACCTAGTTTTGAGAAATTTGACGTAAAAAATGTTGAGTTTCACACCATATCAAGCTTTTTCAAAAGCAATTCTTTAAATGCCAGGATAACAACATCCAATTATCTCGTGATTTTTAATAGAGCAGACGAAGCATTGGGTTTCTGATCTCGTAACAACCAAAAATTTAAGATGGATAGAACTGGATAATTCTTTAGTTTTATGAAGTGTTTTATCAATCAATCAATGAGCTGAGGAGGGGAGATCAATCCATAATCTTCCAACTTAGAACACAACATGTACCCCTCAACCAACATCTCAACCGAATCGGAGTAAAGCAGTCTGCTGCCTGCCCACTATGTGACTACCCCTCAGAGACAGTGGAACATCATCTGTTCTTCTGTAGAAAACTGACTGATTTAAGGGGATGTTTCCTTCCCAAGCTACCCCACACATCGAACTGCCTCTACTCCTCAAAACAACAATTAGAACAGACATGCAGCTATTACCGAATGGCATCATGCAGAAGAGTTAACGCTCAGATGCTACTGGATCGCTAACAACAACAACATTTAAGTGTTTTACAGCACTTGCAACAAAATACGGTCATATGAGTGCCGAAGATTAGAGGTGTTACAAGAGAGTAACAAACACAAAAACAGGAGGAGAGACAAGGACGATAAATGTTTGATAGGAAAGAAGGAGCAAGCCACACCAGAACACCCACTAACCACACATAAATAGCGATTGGTCAATCATTATCAAAAAGGAGAGAGAAATATTGTACCCTGTTTGTGTCCCTCGCTAGACTTGCGTCTCCGTTCTGGCGACCGGTCAAAACTGCCGCCCCATCCCATCTGACGATGCAGCTCCCTGCCAGCATGGCCTTTGTCGTCATACTTGGCGATGAACGGGTAGCTCGGAGGTACAAAGCGATTGAGTCGAGACTTCTCACACTCCTGCCGACACAAAATAAAATCAGATTATTAATAATTAATTTAACCCTATCCGTACGTCCTGGGGTCATTTTGTACCCCCGGCGTTGTATTCTTCACATTTTAGATTTCTTCCAGTATGAAGATCTCTTTGAAACTTTCAGTGCTTCTCAAAAAATCATTTTGACAGTGAAACTTTCAGTGCTTCTCAAAAAATCATTTTGACAGACTGCTATGCAAAGCGTACGGATCATATTGACGAGTAAATTTCCTCTTTGAAAGTGGTGGCACAGAGTTCCCCATGTCGTATGGACACGATAGTAAAACAAGACGTACGGATAGGGTTCATTAAGAACATTTTTAACATCTTTTTGATCAGTGGAAGAAGGTACAACAACATGCGATAACAATCATTTAGTGTGAGGAAAAAGTGAAACAAACAAGACACAAACAGAGGGAACAGAAGAGAAGAAAGACCTAGCAGTGACACCCTCCAATCATCCACTTCTTTTTTTTTTAAGTTAGTTTTAGTAGAGGTTTTAAGGCGCTTGCAACTGCATAAGGTCATATGAGCGCCAGAAGATTAGAGGTGTTACAAGAGAGGAACAAACATAAAAAAGAAGAAGGGGAGATAAGGACAATAGATGTCTGATAGGATACAAGAAGCAAACCACACCAGAGCACCCGCCAACCACCGACGCCATCCACTTCAGAGTTGCCAAAACCGACTTCCTCAAGCGAATAAAAACCAAACCCACTCATTAATCAACACGATTCAAATACAAATATCTTGGTTGATTCTTTACAGTTTATAGTAAGTAAAAGAAAAGGAAGACGGGCAAGAGTGGGTGAATTTTAGCAAAGAGACTTATACAGTATAACACAGGTAGCTCGAATTCGTCAGGACTGGCCTCGGTAGTTCAAGTGATCCTCCGTTCAAAGGACATCTTACAAAGAAAAAGAAGAGAAAAAAAATGAGGACCAAAGGCACAGTTCGACGGATGCATGATTTCCAGTCTTCTGTGTTCGACCTACCCGTGTTGTACTGTAAACTACAAAACTAGCCTTCCTCAGTGTCAACCAGGGGGGCTCTCGTGGCCTAGAGGTTAAGGTGTTGGCCTCTCATTCAAAGATCCCATGTTCGAATCCGGGTAGCGACCAAAAAATGTTCTTCTCTAAAATTGTCTCCTTTCACCTCCTTTCCTGCTCTCTAGCAATGTTCTGTTGTCTGCTTTTTTTTCCACTTTCTGCCCCCACCTCGTCACCTCCTTCGCCCCCTCCTCTGGGCTCCTGACTCTTTCTGCAGCCTTTCTACTGCTACTCCTTGGCTCCTCCTCACTGCTGTCTTTCTACCACACCTCTGATCTTCTGGTAGGAAAGATCTACACCTAGCCTTCTCGGACAAGGGCGAGAAATCTCGGAGGGCCCGTGTGCAAGTTGCGCACGTTAAAGACCCCTTGGTGGTCTAAAATCGATAAGAGTAGGCTTCGGCCGCCAC